ATAGAGTAATTCATCTCTAGTAACTTTCTCAAAAATTTTCATCAGTGCTATTTTAATTTTAGAGAAAGCTATAGATGATCTTTTTTCTGTAATTAATTTCATTTATCAACTTTACCCTGGATAACATTCTGCAATCTTCCTGCAATCAATCTTACATAAAAGTTCCTAGCATGTTCTATTTTATGTGAGGATGGGATGAAATTTTACTGCTCCAGGCTTATATTGTCACTTCATTTAAGGTCCAGGCTTCTTAGATGACGAACCTGTGACAGCTGTCTATTCAACTAATTAACGGTCCTATTGTAGCAAATTAAAATTTAGTAACAGACAAGAAACAATTTAGGAGTATAGCAAAATAACAAGTTCAAGATATTTTCTTTTAAAAAAATATTATATGAAGATGAGTGTAAGACAGAGGAATGAGGACAGATGTGGCCTCACCAGAGAAAGGTGAGTGAATGACCCAAAGGAACAGAGAAATAAAGAGAGTCTGGCGGACACATTTGCATTTATTTATGTTTTAAAAATGTTTGGATGCAAGTGATTTTAGGAACGTAAGTTAGTGATGTCTGTGTTTTCAAGCAACAATATTTTATTTTCAGTACTTTTATAGTCAGTTTCAGGAAATAGTATTAATTCTACATTACATATTTTAGAGACTTTTTCCTGATTAAAAAATGTGAGACAAGCCAGGAGGCGGTGGCGCTCGCCTTTAATCCCAGCAGAGGCAGGCAGATCTCTGTGAGTTTAAGGCCAGCCTGGGCTAAAGAGTGAGTTCCAGGAAAGGCTCCAAAGCTACACAGAGAAACCCTGTCTGGAAAAAAACAAACAAACAGTGTGAGACCTCTGGTCCCTCATTTGGCTCAATTTGCAGTTATACCATCATAGAAGTTAACGAGATTAGAAATGCCCCTGAATGACAAAGCAGTCCTTAGCCGGGCCGGGGGGTGGGGGGCTTTTTACTTTCCTTGCCTTCTCCATGTTTGTCATATCTGGTCTGTCTGCTACCAACAAACGTGCCTGGATTCTCTGCATTTCCTTTCATATAATAAAAGGACAAACGTGAGGCACTTTCCATCTCGTACACATCATCCCTGGATGGACTAACAGGAAACTGAAGAGCTGCTGATGTCATCCTTTGGGCCTCCCATGGTACTGTGCTATCTGCAGCTTCTGGTTCCTAGTGGGCTTGGCCACCCGTGGCTTGTGGGGATGGCACAAGCCTTGGTGTTCTCTATGTGCCCATGTGCCCGGGCTCTAGAGCACACAAATGAAGCCTTGGGGCTGTTTCTCACTCCGGGCTCCTGCCAGTTCCCTGAGATGGAAGCCTATCCTCTTTATCATTCCAATCTAAATTTCAGCTTCTTATGGGGTTTTCTTATTTTTGGCCAGCATTTCCCTTTGCCTTTGCGGATTTTAACGTGCTTGCCCGGGGAATGCTCAGCTTTCCTTACAAGCATGGCTCCTGGAAATGTCACTAAGGTTTACCAGCCTCTTGATTCCGATGAACCTATTTGACACTCCCATGGAAAAAATGGCTTTCTCTTCCTTGTGACGCTTCATTTGTAAATCTAAGGACCTGGCAGTGATGTCAAGATGGTTTTCAAGACAAACAGAGCCATTGAGCCATTGTGTTTAGAGAACAGATAAGTTAGTCTGTGTTAGACACAAAGGATTTAAAGAATTTTATTGACATGTCTTTCCCGTTCTCCACTATCATGCACACATTTCCCATTGGTTTTATCAACACTTTAGATTGAGGTGCAATGATAGTCTGGCTGGCATCATAGTACAGCATAATCTAATTTATATTTGAACAGCAACAAACTATATTAAGCCTCATAACCAGAGTCATCATTTTCCTTCTTCCTCCATATATTTATATATAATTTGACTTGAGATATTTCTACTTTTATGAATTACTATGGCATCTAAGGAACAATGTTTTAACTTTGGCTTAACTATCTTATAATATTTCTATTTGGACAGAAATGAAGCTTATTTATAACCAGTCAATTTAAAATTTTGATTTGAAATACCCTTGCATATTTTTGATTTTAGAAATTGGACCCATGCACAGTTTTCCATACATTATAGTTCAGGGTAGCAAGCCATGGTTCATGGCCAGAAGAGCAAGCTGACAGAAAAATAATGGAAGCCATTTCTAAATGACTGTAGTTTTGTACAAATATAACTAAATAGCAATTCCAGAAAATTGTTGTGAGTAATTAAGTAAGAAGCTAATTTGTCTGCTTCCTTTCCTGTTGGCTTTAAATAACATTATGCTTCATTTTTCCTTTCAACTGTATTATTTTCATCCCATAACAAGCTAGTTAATAAATTCTGCTTCATTAAATGTTATGCCTGAAACCTGTACTCTTATTATATGCTTAAAATATGACTTAATTATGACCTCAGAATCATTTTGTAAACATATATAGTACAAAAATCTTACATCCTACATACTATTTTTATTAAGTCTTATTAAGTACACAGCACACTGATCAATCTGCTAAATATGATTATCACAGATGTCACACAGGTGATGAAAATTTTTATCCCAATATGTGACTGTCTGCCTTTTGCCAACTCATAGTGCAAGATTTCCCGGCTGAGAAAAGTGACAGATAGCTTCAATTAGGAAAACTCTAAAGCATCCTTTTAAAGGAAATCTGTTAGGTGTTTTAAACAATTTACATCAAGTTGGTTTTCCTTTTGATTTTATTTTTAACTTAAGTTTATTTTTAAGCTTCACATAAAAATTATAAGCATGCTTATGGAACACAATGTACTATTTCAAGAGGTGCACGTTTGGTGCAATGTTCAAATCAGGGCAAATAGATTTACCTCTTCACACACTTGCCACATACTTACCCATGTGTTTATCTTTTCATTGGAGAAAAGATCTCATATAGCCCAGGTTGGACTTATACTTGTCATGGAGCCAAGAATGGCCTTGAATTCTGGATCCCCTGGCCTTGTCTCCAAGTGCTGGGAATACAGGTGTGCATCACAGTGACTGGATATACTGTAAACATTCCAAGTCCTTTCTTATAGCTTTTGACATAATCCTGTATATTATTGTTATCTATGGTCACCCTGCTGTGCAGTGGCAGGCAATAACCTCTTATTCCCTCTAAAGATAACTTAGTTCACATGGAGTTTCCAAAGAGTCGGTAAATTAGTTTAGACAGAGACAGAATGTGTAAAATACGTTACTTGCTTTGAAGTAGATTTTAAGAGAAACTTCATTTCATCAGAAAGCACATTTCAGCTTTATTCCTCCAATGAGTTCCTTATTGTTTTGCTACCACAATATATGTGTTTGTTTATATGTATGTATGTTATACCATGTACCTGATATGTGATAAGTTGTTTTATTCATTTATAAAAATTTAATTTCGATCACTGTGGAACAGGTTAAGCACCGAAATGGACATTATAAGGCTGTTGTTTTAGACTATAACATATTTGCCCTAAATATCTCCCAGCTCTCCAGCATTTTGATTTGTGTGTGCCTTCCCCAGCTCTGTGTGTGTGTGTGTGTGTGTGTGTGTGTGTGTGTGTGTGTGTGTGTGTGTGCGCCTGTGAGCAGGACTGTGTTATGAGAATACACTAAAGAGTTTTGTCATCAGTATTTGCATTAGGAGGTTAAGAACAAATTCTTTTACCTGTCAAAGTTCTTTGTTTTAAAGTTTTAAACCTTTAATATTTGAAAATAGGTCATAATAAACAAGTTATAGTGATACATTTTGCTGGAATCATTATCTTTGTGTTTTACAGTATCTGCAAATATTAACTTAGGAAATACTCCCCTACTCCAGCATACCCATATGCTGACCCTGTGGCAGCATAGTAGGTTGAAAATCTCCCTCTTTGATATAGCAAAACTAATTTTATTTGTACTCCTGTCATACCTTTGACCTCATTGATTTCTTCTGGTATGGCCTACTTTGCTTAGCTTATGGTTTTTTTTTTTTTTTGTTTGTTTTTTTTTTAGAAATTAGAAAGATTTCATGATTCCTCACTACCAGACAATAAAGCAGAGGCATCTGCACTGATTTTTTTTTCTTGTGCCCATTCATTAACTAGCATGACAAATTATCTTATTGGCATCCATACCTTCAGTTTCAGAGTGCTGTCGGTATCACATCGTCTGATGCCTGACAAAAATATTACCTCAAAAAATAAAAATATTCCTGGAGTCTGGTTTTAACACTCTACTCTGGAGCATCGTGTCTTCTTTGGAGCATGTAACATAGGATGCTTAGATGTATAGAAATTTGTAGATATGGTATGGGTAAATCAATAGGAACCTCAAATCCCACATCTACATTGTTTTAGAGGTTAATCTATTTCTATATCTTTCACACCCTTCTACCGTACCAAATGAGAAGCATTATTTTGTGGCAGCATCTAAAATTCAAAATTCAGAGCCAACTTCCCTTGCTTTCAGCTACAGAATTAGAAGTTGTATAGGCTTACCATTTCCAGTTGTGGTGAGGTCAATCCTAAAAGAAACTTAAATATGGTTTGTGGAAAACTGTTTTCAAGTTTTGAATGCCAGTACTGTTCTTGTCTCCTGACCTCACCCTCCTTGGGGTGTTTTCAGGTGCAGAGGCCAGCTAAGCCTAATATGTGCCTGGTGTATAAGACGTTAGGGGACAAAAAGTAATGCATGTTTTCTCACCCATTAAAAGCTTGGTGAATGATACACTGTAATAACGGATTAATATGATCAAACTATAAGAAAGTTGTTGAACTAAAGTCCGTGGAGCATGGGAGCTTCCAGAAATGAAGAACGCAAGGCCCAATGGAAGCTGTTACCTTCATTAACATCCGTGTGAAAGTGTGATTGGAGAATGGGAGTAACAATGCAGAGGGGGGTTAGGAAAGCCTGGCTTCCTGTCTCCCCTTGGGGATTTTCCTTCATGCTTTTCTTGTTGCTGTGACAAAATGCCCAAATGAAACAAGGGAGGAAGGCTTTCATTTTGGCTCACCATTCAAGAAAGGATAGAGTCCACCACCGCAAGGAAGGCAAAGCAGTAGAAACATAAGGCAGCAGCTCACACATCTGCAGTCAGGAAGCTGAAAGGGGAAAGGTAAGGCTGGGCTATAATACCTCAAGGACTCTCTGTGACTCACTTCTGTCAGTCAGGCTCCATCCCTAAAGTAGCATCAATGTCCTAAAATTGTGTTGCTCATTGTGGACCATGCATTGCAATATATGAGCATTTGGGGGACATTTCACATGCAAAGCCCAAAATCACAAGAATCCTTATGCTTACTCTATGAGGGTATTCACAGTAGAAAGGAAGGAGGTCAGAACATGATTTCCTTCTCTTGTTTTCTCAGTTTCCAATGGGCCATAGTATGGAAAATAATGCCCTGAGCCTTGACAAGGGCCTTGGCTTCCTTTACAGGCATCTATCAAAAACTTGATAGACATGAGAGTTAGTTTATGTACTTCACCATGGATTCATAAGAGGATTTTTAACAAGCACTTGAGGGAGCTAAGAGAGAAAAGTAAAGGGGATAAAATACTAGCATGACGGTGTAAAGGTGAGGAGACCCTTGTAAAAAGGCAGGCAAATAGCCGAGAATTTAGCCACCTAAGGGGGAAGTATGGTCTGCCATGAAACAAAGGAGTATTCTAATGAATCCATCATAGATTTGTTCAACTCAGAATAGAGAACATGAACACAGAATCCCAAACAGACCTCTGCCACAATAGTACAGTTCTCTTGGGGAGAGGCTAGAGCAAATGCTTATAAAGCAATCTTTCTGAGCATTGGCGAGGTGACCACTAGAGCTTAAAGAGAGGAGGGAGGAATCGTCTAGGCAGGTAAGTGGAGGGATAAACACATTTTTTGAGTTTTTGGACCACAGTTTTTTTTTGTTTGTTTGTTTCATTTTGTTTGGAGTACTATGGAAGTGCCACAGCCCAAATCGTGAGTGTTGGCCTCTGCCTTTCTTTGTTGGATCTGGTCACTTCCACCTACTAATTAAATACATATATTCTGGGAAGTTATGAACATAGTCTTGCCTAAGGATCCTTGTAACAAAATATCACCTACTGTGAATATAGTTCTTATGGAAATTAAATGAGTGCTAATGTATTAAAGGGGCATTTGCACAAATCTTTGTCATATTAACAACAATTAGGTTGTAACCAATCCAGAAACCATTTTTTTTTGCTTATTCTTGATTTTAATTGAGGTACTTGTATAAAGTACAAAATGAAAGAGTAGTGTCATTAAGTCAGTAATCATGATATGGTAGTCTAAATGAAAATGACCTCCATAGGCTCATATATTTTAATAATTGATTTCCAATTGGTAGAACTGTTTGAGAAGGATTAGCAGATATATGGTCTTATAGGAGAAAATGTATCACTAAAGGTGGGCTTGAACTTTCATAAGCCTGCAATTACCTAGTGTTCTCTTTCTGCCTCATAGTAGATATCTCAAGACGTAGGCTCTCAGCTACTGCTCCAATGTCAGGTCTGCCTGCCTGCTGACATGCTGACCACCATGATGGTCATGGACTCATGAATTCACCCTCTGAAACCGTAGGCTCTCAATGAACTCTTTCTTCTGTAAGTTTCCTTGGTTATGGTGTTTCTTCACAGCCAGAGATAAGTCACTGTGTATGACACAGGATAAACAATATTTGAATGAAATAAAAATAAAGATCCATGTAAATGTGGATGTCAGAAAAAAAAACATCTAAATTATAAATGAAGGCAAAGATGGAAAAAAAAATTTAAATAAAATGTTTACCTTAGTCATGAAATACCAAATGAGAAAGCCATTCTCATTTAATTTAAATACTTTTGTGTGCTTTCACTTGTTTTTGTTTGGTGTGTTTCTATGCACACATGTGCCTTATGTGTAGAAGCATAACTGCCAGTGTGGAATGTGTGATATCTGAGCACCACTTTCAGGAGTCAGTTCTCCTTTTCTACCATGTGGGGCCCAGGGACTCACTTCTTCTCCTTGGGCCTGGCTTCAGGAGACCTTACCCACTGAGCCATCTCTTGGTCCCAAGATATCCTTCTTGAAGGGCAATCTGGATCTTCTTGGGTAAGATTCTCTGAGTAAACTGGTATGTCTATTGGCTGATGAGTTTAGTACACCTTCCTAATCATGTAAGAGTTGCCATCATTGTGACTGTGTAGGTGTGCATACACATTTACACAAAAAGACAGTTACCATAAAACACTGTAATGAATTAAATAGGAAATGTAATATTCCTATCAGCAGAGGATTTCACACAATGTATTTTTATCATACTCAGCCCTCATTTCCCCCATAACTCCTCTCTGAGTCACCCTTACCTTCCCTACCCCTTCCAACTTCAGACACTTTTAAAAAAAATTAGTTCATAATATACTAACCATAGATTCATGGTTGTGGTAGACCTACAAGTGGCCATACCCTTAAAAATAACTGATTCCCCCTTGTTTTAGAATCCATCAACTTTCAGTACTTTCTTAGTTAGGGGCAGGGACTTGTGAGCCCCTCATTTTCTATCTTAGTATTTTGAGTAGCTTGTACATACCTTGTTGGGCAAGCAACCACAGCCATTTTGAGTCAATGAGTGTACTTGTACTAACATGTCCAGAAGACACTATTTGACTCTGGTACTCCCTGATACCTGGCTCTTACATTCTTTCCTGCCCCTCTTATACAATTGCTTTTGAGGCTTAGGGTGGGTGATAAACAGTCCCATTTGTGGCTGAGCACTCCACTGATACTTATTCTCTCCACTTTGACTAGGTTTAAGTTTCTGCATTAACAAATGTCTACGGCACAAGGAAACTTCCCTAATGAGGTCTGAGAGTATCACTAATTTTCAGTTAGAGAGATACAAATTTAGAGGGCAGTTTGATGTTATGTCGATGTAGCAGAATAAAAGTTGTTGCTTGGCCCCTGGGGTCTGGGAGTTCCCTTATCATGGCTTCCTGGCCAGATCTACATGCATTTCCTCCTGTGAAACAGTCCTTAAATCCGACCAGAAAGTGGTTTGTTACCCTCATAATATTGATGCCAATATTGCACCCATGGGCATATTTTGCCAAGCCAGGCACTATTATAGTTCATTAGGTTAACAGCTGAGTAAAATTATTGATGATTTCTTTCCCTTAGCAACCAAATAGTGCCTTCTGGTACTATGAAAATTAGCCTGCAGGAAATAAGCTTGCTGGTCAGTGCCAACCTGCTTTGTTCAAGTCAAGTAACCAAACTGTACTATGTCTTCAGTAACAGGGACGCACCATCAGGTTACAGTGGGCAGACAAGATGACTAGCCACAGCTTGTGTGATTTGGTGGGTCTCTAAGACACTCCTGAACAACAATTCAAAAGGGATTGTCTCAGGCTTGACACTGGGCTATCTCTCTGACAACCTATGGCTTCTGGAGAGAGCATTATTCTCTGTGTAGAGCAACTCCAATTAAATTCTTTTATGTGAATATATATATATATATATATATATATATATATGGATATGTATATATATATGAAGTTTATAAAACAGTAGGTTTCCATACAGCCTTTTCAAACATCCTACGTTATCCTTCTCCTCATCACCTCACCTGTCCTACTCTGCCATCTCTTTTTCAACTTAAATTTCCCTCCCCAGGGGAAAAGGAGATAATGAATTAAAATTTTCAAATACATTGTGAAAATACCTTTCAACAGTGAATATATATGTAAACAAATTTATGTATTAAGAAAAAAAGAATTTAAAAAATTCTGGGCTGTTTTAATTAAAACAGAGGCAGGAATTCCATATCTTCATGTACATTCCTATATCTTCATGTACACATTTAGCCTAAAGAGTCTTTGGACTCCAAATGCTTGGGGGGGGGGGGAAACACTTTATCAATAAGTGTTCACCTGTAAATATATGAAAATATGTAACAATGAAAACCATAAAAATATGTATGCTTACCTCATGCTTAATTTTTTTGAGGAAGTCATGGTTATTTTTAAATGTAATCTGTATGCTTCCCAAAGCATTCCCCCCTCTTGGTGGTAAATCTGGAGACAGGTGCAGGTTCATGCTAGAATACCTACTATCAGGGAAGGGCAGCATTTTCTTTTCCTTGCTATTGATTCATTTCCATTTGGTGTCTTTCTCTACTTTTGGACTCTGTATGCTGTTAGGGCCTAACGTTACAAAGCCATCCAAGTAAATCCACCGTCTATCTATATATTAGCTTATATTCTTCCACGTGGAGATTCTGCGAAGACAAGAGCAGAGTTCTTTGGAGATTTTATTGAGCACTTCTGTCATGTAATTGGCTGAATGCATAAAAATCAGGCGTTCCTGAGTCTGGCCCTTTGCTCCCTAGGCATAGTAGAGTGTCTGTCGACTAGTTCTTGCCTGTGTGGTGTATTTGAGACGAGAAGCACATTAACAATGAGAGGGGATTCGGGTCAGAATCACTCTGCGTCATAGATGCCATTATCTGCTGATTTAGCTTGGCTGAAAACTGCTGAAAACTAATCCTTTTTGTGCCCTTGTCAGTGGCTGCAGCCTGGAGTCGTAGAAAATCGGCTCTACCTGAGTCAGGTAATCATTACAAAATGAATTTGGCTCCCGACTCTGTGGAAGTAATTGGGAGAAAATATCTCATATCTATGATGAAAATTCCCTTAGTTAAACCTGTCTAGCACACAAAAAGTGCTAAATGCTTGTAACTACCAAGCTACTATATAGGTGCCAGTGGATTATCCTTCAAACTGAACATAGGTGATCGCTTACAACATGTGGCCAAGGCCAGCAGTTTTCTGCTGTTCGTTTGCTCGGGTACCCTTGCTGCACTGGGCTCTCGTATCACAGAGATCTTCCTTTGCAGTGCACAAACTGATTACCCAGCAGGCAATTCGGTTCCAGAAGGGAAGTCAGAATGGTGCTGACTATTCCCTAGGGAGGGACATCCTGTAAAAACACCAAGGTTGAGAACTGTCATAGTCACAGCAGTAGGTGCATTTTCCTCAGAAATTAATGGAGCAAGCTAGGCAAAAAAATGTTTTTAAGCTGCATCTTCCCTAGAGTAAGATGCAAATTCAAAGCTTGTTTGAAGCCTTGGAATGAAAGTTAAAGATAAGACTTTTAGGGTTTTTTTTTTCTTTTTTCTTTTTTGACATTGATAATATAGGCAACCATAGCACAAGAAGATTAAATTGAAATGCGAGATAAGTGGCATGGATGTTATTCAAGTCGGCGCGGACTGCAGCAGCAAATGGTTCCTGAGCCCATGCACCCAGGCTGATTGTTAATAGAGGGTTATTGGGACGTCACTGTCTGCTTCTCCTTGCACTGAGTGATGGACAGGCAATGCTATCACATTATGACTTCATATTTTTAGTTTGTGATCAATCTATTCATTGAGTCGCTCTGACCCTGACATTAACATCTGGCGGAAATGTAGTAGCCATCTTTGGAAACTCTCTGGTTAGTGTGCTGCAGGGTAACGAGAGTGGAAACGGCCTTACTTCCCCCCACAGAGCATGCAATAATCTTAAATTATACATCCTATTCAAGAGGGGGAAGAGAATTATGTGCTCGGCTTCAAGGAATGTGTAGGCCATTCTGGAGAACTATTTGTTACCCTTTCTTAAAGAATGTGCCCATAAATACAGTTGGAGTGAGTTGGTGATAGGTACACTAAAAGTTTCTGGAGCTCCAAATTTCCCCTTCTGTTCATGTAGAGAAGCTGAGGCAAAAACCTCACACCCAACGAAGCCTTTTGTTTCTGGGAAGCATTTGCAGAAAGACAGTTCCCACCTAGCACTTTGAAGTCATCTAAAAAATAAAGACGGACAATGATCGTTACAGCTTCTGTGAGTGTAGCACATTCTATAGAAACATGCTTTCCACCTTCCACCCTCTTCCTTGCTCTGACTTAAGAAGCCACTGGGGTTTCCACATTATTTGCCTTATTTTACCAAGAAGAAAATTGTGATTTGCAAAGGTCAGGTAATTTGCCCAAGAGAAGACCGTAAAATCTAATTAATTTGTTCATTCATTCATTCATCCACTTAACCAATTCAAAGAAAATTTATCCATTCCATTCTGTGCCAGATACACTGTTTCTTGTACAGCTGGGTAGTTCTGGGGCTTTTAGCAAATTTTGAAACCTTTCTATAATCCAGTTAATTCAAAAAAGAATTGGAGAGGAAGCTTGGGCATCAAGGTACATGCCTATAATCCCGGAACTCAAGAGACCAAGGGAAGAGTATCACAGTTCGAGGCCAGACTAAGACAGACAGGGAGACCCGACCTTCGAAATATCAACACTGAAAATCAAATTTAAAAGTCTCTAAATAGGAAGATTTAGAAATTAGAAAACATTAAAAATTAGGGCCTGTGGTAAGTTATCTTTTGTAATCCATTTTAGTCACAATATTCATTGCATATAATATTTTACTGCATTTTTTGTTTCCCTCTTCCTATTAATTTACTGAGATGCACCTCACAGAGTTGTGTCCCCTACTTTTATTCTGCAGCGGACAATTAAAGAGAAACTAAGAT